AATGTCTTCTTCGAATACTTTCGATCTGACCCTGTTCATGGTAGGAGCACCGGTATAGTATCTTCATCCAAGAAAACACAATTTCTAACCACAATTTCTAACCACAATTTCTGGAACGACAGAGGGACAACAAGCCCTGCTACCTTCCGATTTCAATCTTCGCAAGCCAGAGATACTACCGGAGATGGAAAGAGTCAAAAATCTTGTTCTTGAAATACACCAGTATTACAACCTCAGACAGACGCTAGGTTAGTATATTTATTTACTATGGTTACTCGCTCACAGCCTCTATTAGGCCGTTTTGACACAAAGCAGACCACATCAAGTTGACCGAGAAAAGTTTGAATGGAGTTGCTACACGAGGCGGAAGTTTTTCTCACGACGAAGCAGAGCGAAATGAGGTGCTGCTTCGTACTAGCCAACTTGTATTGTCAAGGCTTCGCACAGTACAGATGCTATGTGAAAAGATCATCTTGGTTGCACCGGAAGAGGCACGGGAAGAGGCATAGATGGTGGTGTGTTTTTTGCTTCTCTCTCTCAGTTCTGCTATAAATTGCAATCATTATCTGCTAGTCATAATCAGTCCTGCTGCATTCAAAATACAGTTTTCCTACCTGATACTGAGCTGGGCGTAGCAAAATGATGAAACAGCTTCTACTCCATAGAGTACATATAACTAATCTGACATCTTCACCTGGGCATATGAAGACATATGAAGGATTTCGGGCTAAATGATTCAAATAGAAATAACCAAAAAAGACTTGTTAATACATATGTAGTCAACACCAACAAGACCTGGAATCATCTATACAATACAGAGTCCCGTCGCATGCAATCGACCGGAAACTAAAAAGAGGCAAAATGAAAATGCATCCAATACCGCCAAGGCCCTACTTCTTCTGAGCCTCACCACCAGGCGGCAAACCAGTAAATGGATCAAGACGCAACTCAGTAGCCGAAACAGGCTTGTAAGTAGTCTGACCCTCCCTAGCCATCTTCAACCGTCGAACCTGACCAGCCTCACCAGCCCGGCCAAGAATACCAGCAATCAAAGCAGTAGCGCGCAGACTATCATCGTTGGAAGGAATCGGGTAGGTCACGCGGGTAGGATCAGCATCGGTATCAACAATACCAATAGTAGGAACATTGTTCAAGCCACACTCATGCAGCAAGACAACATTCTCAAGCGGATTCAAGCAAACAACAAGATCCGGCTTAAGAGAAGGCCGATCCGCAAGATCAGCCTTAAACTCCAACAACTCCTCATCAAGCGCATTAACAACCCGAGTCTCGCAGTGACCCAGGATCTGCTCGCCATTCGTCAAGCTGCCGGGAATCCACCGCTCGAAAATGTGGTAGCCCTTTGCCAGCTCGGCGGCTTTGACAACGGCCCGCTTTTGGCCCTTGCGTGTGCCGGCAAAGAGGATCAGGCCGCCGCGCGCCGCGACTTCTTCTACTACTTTCGCCGCGCGGCGGAGGTATGCTGCTGTCACGTCCAGTGAGATGATGTGCACTCCTTCACGGATACCGTAGATGTAGCGCGAGTTCTGCGGGTTCCAGCGCGAGGTCGAGTGGCCCAGGTGGGTTCCTGCTGCGAGGAGCATTTCGAGGGTTACCTGGGAGGGCTTGGGAGGGTTGCGGAGGATATTTTCGGGGTCGTAGGAGGTTTTCACGGAGGTGCCAAGTTTGTGGAATTTAGCTCCTAGTAGGAGGGAGAAAGTATGGGTTAGGTTGTGTTTCTGGGCTTTTGGAAAAGATTCGCGGGCTCACTTTGTGATTCTTCTTGCTGTGCGGGTGTCTTTGCCTGTGATTGCGCATTCATCATCTCAATCAGGGGGTTCTCTGCCCGGGGAATGGGCTCCGACTGGAGAATGGGCTCCGACTCCTGGGGAGGAGCTGGCACGACTGGTTCGCCTAGTGTGGTCGGGATTGTCGATTGGAAGCGAGTTGAGATCGGGGCTCGTCGGCTCACAGCCAGGAGCTGGCGGCCTGGGAATTGCGCTGTTAGCTGTGTGGTTGGATGAAACGGTTGCAATTGGATCACACTCACTCTGCCGCATACAGAACTTCCGTACAATCATTTTGGGAATGCTGAATCGTAGATGGGTCTGGCAGGAAGGTTGAGGTCTGCCGCTCGAACTTTTGTCGGGCTTGGCAGTTGGTGCCTGAGGCCGTCGATTATTCCACTTGGGGTTTGTTTGGATCTCTCCGCCCTGCATGTTCTCGACTCTACTGCAGATCCTATTACTTTTGAAGTCAATATCTACGATAATTGTATACATGGAAAGTATCCAGGTCATCACGTTGGAATTCTGGGAATTATGATTCATGAAATCACGCAAAGGTGATTTCCGATCTGAATGCAGTTGGTTCATGATACAAAAGCCCCTCTTGGGCGAAGCAATAAAACCCCATAAAAATCAAAGCGATCAAGTGAAAAGATACATGCCAGCCCGTTGCGGAAATATAGCAGAAAAAAGGAAATTCATCAAGGACGTGTCGTCAGGAAGCAAAGCGAAGAGTCTACCCTCTACTTCTTGAAGAAGCCACCGAGCTGGTCCATCATGGAGCCGCTGCTACCGTTGTGGGAAGGAGGGGGACCACCGTAAGGGCCACCGGGGGGAGCGCCCTGGTGGTTGGGAGAGTGGCTGTTCCCGCGGTGCTTCTTGACGGCATCTTCGGCGATGGAACCGATGATAGCACCACCAATTGTTCCAAGGAATCCGTGGTTAGCCTTGTGGCCGGCGAAGCCACCGGCAGCACCTCCAGCGAGGGCACCGGCGAGACCACGCTCGCCCTCCTGAGCTTCACCGGGGGCGCCCTGCTGCTGCTGGTCGTAACCACTGTTGCCTGTTAGTCCAAGTCCAGAATGAGAAGTGGGAGATGAAGTGACATACCCTTGGTGCTGGCCATGCTGCTGGCCATACTGCTGCTCGCCATGCTGCTGACCACCGTAGTAGTCAGATGCGCCACCCTGCTGGCCGTAGCCCTGGGGCTGCTGGTGCTGCTGGTGCTGTTGCTGGCCGTAGTAGTCGGCAGAACCACCCTGCTGACCATAGCCTTGCTGAGGGGGGTAACCCTGCTGAGGCTGACCGTAGCCCTGCTGGCCGTAACCCTGCTGAGGCTGACCGTAACCCTGCTGGCCGTAACCTTGCTGGCCGTAGCCACCCTGGTTGTACTGGTCGTAGCCGGACATTATGTAAGAGTGTAAAGGTTTGAAGGTTTGAAGTGGTAAGTAGAAAGTAAGAGTGTGGAGGAAGATGAAATCAGAAAGTCAAGTGAGAGGAGGGGCAACCCTTTATAGGAAGTGACCTAAGAAGCCACAGGGCTGATACATGTACAGTAACCCCACATGGCCAAGCGAAATATTACAGGAGGCGCAGTAATCCTCTCAGCCTTGCGCACATCATTACTCCGTACTTACATTCTTACTGCAGGCACAGCCACATAGCGCAGCACGATTCTTGATGCAGTTGTGGCTATGCCAGGCTAAGTTGTATATGGAGTATTTGTATGTTCTCCGTAAATAGATCAGATTAAACGGATCTATCGGCTTCCACGGTTCTTCCAGAACTCTACGCGGCCTGCGACCGCCGAGACTTTCTTTCTCCGCACAACTCTCGGCGTACAAGTATCGTGCTGTCTTATTCGGCTGCCTGGTAACACTAAGCCCCTCATACATCCGGTCTGTCCGAGCCGCCCCTGAGTGTTAAAAATACCCGATTTGTATTGTTACACTCATACACGTATGAACAGTGGCGCATGAATCACCCGATCTAAGAATATATTCTTATGACCTTGAACTGTGTTGACGTCGGGGGAATATGAAAACTCTCAGTCTTTGGGTTCTGCAAGTGAAAATTATCTCACTTGACTATATTCTGGAAGAACGCGTACGCCTAAACCCGAACCCGAAAGCCAAGGCCGTAGTATCCCTAACATATTGTTTCTCCGACATCAACTGTACCCACATCTCGTTGTGTCCGATCCGATCACATCCCCCAAAGGGCCTGTATTGAGATCATAGTGATAACATATTCAAACCTTCGCATGAAGACAACTTGGAAATGCAATACATACGTAGATCAGATGTATGAGTTTGACTTTTGTCCAAGTCAAACAAAATATATCATTGAACGGCCCTTCCGAGACTGGGCATGCGATCAAGGACATGCGCTTATATGTATAAAGAGTGAAGATCGTCACCCGATCACCCTGTGAACAAAGACACCCATACCAGCCTTATCTTCTGACCCCGGCCACTCGTTGGTCTTTGTATTCAACGTCTTTGGATGCTTATTCTTGACTCATGACTTGAAAATTAGACTTGGATTCGACTTGATGACAGTAGTTCAATCCATCCTCAAGGTCCTCATGTCACAACTGGTCGTACTAATGTATTCTGGCTGATGATCATGTCTCAGCATCAGTTGCAGTCTTGTTTCTTGACTAATTCTCCGGTCTATACATCGCCACAGAAGCCTGTTTGATCCCAGACACCCATGTACCAGATATATACATCCACCCCAATGATCACAGACTCGCATCCGAATATCTCCGACCAAATTCCAGCCGATCAACAGAGTGCAGTGGACATGCAGAACGAGTTTAACCAATCAAACTGCCTGGTCGGAGCACATCCACCGGACGACTTATACTAGTTCATCAAGCGCTCCAACACCTTATTTATGCCGTTCAGCCCTGACAATCCCTTACAGGATGATCAATGGAAATGGGCTCTGCTGATCCACCGTTCTTTTTCTTCTTCTCTGTGATTCCCATATTTCCTCGGTGATAGATTCCATAACGGGATCCCTTCTGATTATTTCCTACGCCCTATAAAGACTAGAGCTATGGGCCATCCCGATCAACACAGGCATTAGCCCGCAAAAGTTTACTTTAAACTTATTCTTTGCCGCACTCGTTTCATCGATTTTTTGGGTCATTTGTTCTGCTTATATATATCAACCGGGCCTGCTTTTGTAGATCTACGGGCCAAGATGTTGCTGCAATTGGTTCTCATGGCTCTATGCCTCGTTCTCGGGATTGTGTCTGCCCAAAATCCGACAGTCTATATCATTCGGCATGGTGAGAAGCCCGCGAATAAGGATGACCACGGCCTCATCCTGGATGGGATCAAGCGGGCGCAATGTCTGCGCAGTGTTTTCGGAGAGGGATCGGGATACAATATTGGGCATATTATGGCGCCTCATGTAAGAGAGGGTAAGTTCAGAGCATTACTCCTTAATATACAGCAGTGCGAAGTGCCGAGGCGTTGCGCACTGCTTATCCAGTTCGTCAACGTGGCTGGCTGGCTGACTTGTGATGTGGTGTATAAATGGCGCGCACCGCCGTGCATTCCTGACTGTCCTTCCTCTTGCAAATGACCTCGGCCTGACTGTTGATACTCACTGCAAGCGTAAGAAGGTCGAATGCGTTGCTGAGACGGTTCGGTCCTATGATGGACCGGGCAATATTTTGATTGCCTGGCGACACACGAATATGGGTGGGATTGAGGAGGCGCTTGGTGCATATGAGCCTATCGAGTACCCGGATGATCGGTGAGTGATTTTGTGCTTTCCAACTGTTGGTTCCAAACGTGTCGGATTTGATAGTGGTTATCTCCGAGCCCTCTTGAAGATCCTGTCTGTTTTGGATATTTTGGATATAATCTGGGGATTGCCCTCGATATTTAGTAGTGTACTAGTACTGACTGTCTCAGCTTCGATCTCATTTGGACAGACCCTTGGCCCTATGGCAATGTTACGCAGGTTGAGAGCGAGGGTTGTCCCGGATTGGACACAGATCGTCTGGTAGACCAGTCTTGATCTGGAGTGTTTGTTGTATTAGCATTGGGCCTGGCAGTTCATTGCATATGTTTGGGTATATTGCATCAAGGAGTAAATATGAACAAAACCACATGAGACACAATATAAGATCTTCAAGGACATCCGAAGTGTAGAATCACCGCACGGGCCACCAGCAAAATTCTCAGGCGGTGAGTCTGAGCGGAGACAATTTGTAGCGCCAAGATTTCCTCACCCCAAATTTTTCGTAGCGCTTGACCAGCTTCCCCCTCCAGATTGCAATTCAGTCTACGGGAAAGATCATGGATGATATCGAGGTTTGTGATCTTGGAAATTGCTCTAGGACTGTGCGCTGACTGTCATCCAGGATCGGCTACGCAGCCATGCACAGGCATTTGACGGTCTACTGTCCTTGATCCCCGCCAAATATTACTACGGTGAAGAGAACACAAGTGTATGTAGGCCCTGCGCCCTGTCAGACCTCTGCTTTTTGCCCTCGAAAGAGTTCTGTTTTCTGCCACCTTTTGCCGTTATGCATCCTGAAGACTCTGTCTGACCATCCTCTCTCACAGGATCAATGGCAACGCAAGAAGCAGACGAAAGAACAAGCTCGTGAAGCGAAGCGAGCAAAGCTTGACCCTGAAGCCGCCAAGACCGCCAAAGACGTGATGGACGAGAATGCACGCAAGCGCAAGCGCGAGGATGGAACCATCCTGTCCGACTCGTCAGATGGAGAGATGGGCACCGAGAACCCCAAGGAGGGACTGAACCGCGGAAACGCCAAGCCCAAGAAGCAGAAGTCGGTCGAGAACGGTGAGAAGGACGCCACCAAGGCAGCCGAAGTCGAGGCCCGGAAAAAGCAAAACGCAGAGAAGAAGGCCGCGAAGAAGGCTGAACAAAAGGAGAAGAAGAAGGCCAAGGATATTGCCCGGAAGGAGAAGGCTCAGCAGAACAAGAAGCAGTCGAATGCTACAACAGAGGATTCGGAAAAATCTGCACCAAAGCCTAACGCATCGAAGCCTAACGGTGATACCACCAAGAAAGCCGATGCATCTGACGACGAAGAGGATGATGAGAACGAAGAGGAAGATGGCATTGTCGAGGAAGGATTCTCTCTTGAATTCAACGACCAGCCCGAAAACTCCTCAGCCTCGTCCACCCCTCACTCTCCCAATGCCTCAAATCCCCAATCTGGCAGCTCCTCTATTTCCTCCATCGTCCCTCCCTCCGCCTCCACCGAAGTCAAATCCTCAGAGCCCAAACCTCTCAAGCACACACCCGAAGAGCTGAAGCAGCGCCTACAAAAGCGCCTCGACGAGCTCCGGGCGAAGCGCCACGCAGATGGACTCAACGGCAAGCCTGCCCGTAACCGCCAAGAGCTCATCGAAGCACGTCGGCAAAAAGCCGAGCAAAGAAAAGCCCACAAGAAGGAATTGCGCCAAAAGGCCAAAGATGAGGAGCAGCTGAAGTCAGACGAAGCCATGGCCCGCCGCTTCTCCCCCGGTGGCTCCGGCTCTCTCCTGGCCTCCCCCCGCTCCCCAGCCGAGTCTGTCGGCTCCTCCAGCAACAACTTCTCCTTCGGCCGTATGATCTTCACAGACGGCCAAGCCACAGACGCTGCCGGCACCGATGTGCACGACAAGCCCAAGACTCACGGTGCCCGCGACCCCGCTGCCCAGTTGAAGGCCGCCGAGGCCAAGCGTGCCCGTCTCGCAGAAATGGATCCTACCAAGCGTGCCGACATCGAAGAGAAGGACCGCTGGTTGAACGCCAAGAAGCGTGCCCACGGCGAGCGTGTCCGTGACGACACCTCCCTGTTGAAGAAGGCCCTCAAGCGCAAGGAGACCGCAAAGAAGAAGTCCGAGCGTGAGTGGAAGGACCGCCTCGAGACTGTCGCTCGCTCCAAGGAGCAACGCCAGTCCAAGCGTGACGAGAACCTCCGCAAGCGCCGAGACGAGAAGGGCAACAAGGGCGGCAAGAAGAAGCCCAGCAGCGGTGGCAAGAAGAAGGCCGCTCGTCCCGGCTTTGAAGGCGGCAGCTTCAAGGCCAAGTCAGGCGGCGGCAAGAAGAAATAAGTCGGAAAAGAACCCCAAGTCAAACCGTTAAGATTTAAGCCTTGATGTCATTTTTTACTTCTGGCTTGTCTTCGGTCGAAATCATCCTTTTTGTCTTGTTACATTCTTCCCTTTCCTCTATTTCTTCTTCTTGCATACCCTTTTTCCTCTAACCGGGCTGTTCTGGGATAACAACATCCCACCAGAACGCACATAGACCCACCCTCTCGACGAGCTACAACAAAAAAAGTGTTTTGCGACTTTGAATTGGGAAATATCCGTCCGGAGATCAAGGTGCCTGGTGTTTACGTTTTGTGTGGCGGCTTGGATCCGTCAAATCTTTTATGTCTATGCATGACAGCATCGGTAGCGATTTGATTTATATCTGTGAATACAAATATCATTTCCTTCCATTTGGCTGAACCTGTTCTTTCGTGTTTCGAGAGCATAGATCTTTATAAACATATATAATGTTAAAAATATTAAGTTGAGTCTATAGGTAAGTTGAGGTAGATTCAGATATCGTTGATGACGGAAGCGTGTTCTGTTATGAGATGTAAGATCTGATAATGAGACGGGATTGACCAAATTTATATTTTAAATACGATCTCAACCAAATCAAAGAGACCTGCTGGATTCCAAAACATAGGAAATAAAGAGACAAAGGAGTCAAGATTCACGGGAAAGATATTCCTTGAGGAATTGACTGGTACAAGATGAGAACACAGATCGAGGGCATTTATGTACAGTGTGTATAATGGGGTTCAGAAAAAGAGGGAAATGATTCCTTCTTATTTTCGAGGCACGAAAACTCGTGCTTCTTCAATGGGTATTGCGACTGGCATCTTCCTGTCCGCACAAATCCACTCTCTAAGGAAAATGTGCGTGAACAAGGATCGACATGCCAATCAGATGAAAATCGAGGCGATTGAATTATCGGTAGGGAGCATCCGCACGGGCAGCAGCGGCAATCTCGGGCTCCCACTTGTCACCGTTGGCGAGGAGCTTCTCCTTGTTGTACAGCAGCTCCTCACGGGTCTCGGTGGCGTACTCAGCGTTGGAGGCTAGAGAAAAGGTGTTAGTCAATTGGGCCCATCTGATAGTCGCCTCAAAAGGGTTGACTCACTCTCAACGATGGCATCCACAGGGCAACTCTCCTGGCAGTAACCACAGTAAATGCATTTGGTCATATCAATATCGTAACGGGTTGTCCGGCGGCTTCCATCCTCACGCTCCTCAGCCTCAATGGTGATAGCCTGGGCGGGGCAGATAGCCTCGCAGAGCTTGCAAGCAATGCAGCGCTCCTCACCGGTGGGATAGCGACGGAGGGCGTGTTCACCACGGAAACGGGGAGAGATGGGACCCTTCTCGAACGGGTAGAAGATGGTGTAACTGCATAAAGAAAGGACAATTAATTCGATTTGAACTTGAACCCTCTCCAGGGATTGAGAACACGGTTGCGATCCGTATCCACGTCGACGAGTGTGGGACTTACGGTGGTCTGAAAAACTGCTCCAGCACCACGTACATGCCGCGGAAAATCTCAGCCATGAGGAAGTATTTGCTGGCCTTGTCCAGGGAGGACTCGGAGTCCTGGTCCCAGCGCTTGGGAGCGGGCAGGCGGAAGCCGGCCTGGGGAGCACCCGCTGGGGTTGCTGCGCGGGACGCCGAGGAAGAGAAGTTTGCGGTTGAGCCCATCAAGCCGAAGGGGGTCGGCCGACGGTAGGCGACGAGCCTCGCGACCGATCGGGTGGCGGCCATGGTTGGAGCGGAGAGGAGGATGAAGATGGGGGGAGAGTCGAAGCAGTTGGAGGTACTTGAGGGGGAAGGGGAGCCAAGTGGACGAGGTTGTGGTAGTTTGCAGGTTTCGGGCTTAGGTCATTCCTTTCTGTTGGTCGCTGATTGGGCCGCAGGATTTTGCTGGAGCGCCGACCTTCCTCATCTCGCCTTCTTCTGCTTCTTCCCTCCCAACCTCATTACCTTCCCCCACGTCTCTGTTTCTTTTATTTTAGAACTTTAGCCTTCGCGCTCTTCCGAATCTTCCCACCATGTTCCGCTCCGCCATTGTCCGCTCGCTCAGAGCCTCCGCCCCCCGTGTCATCAAGACCCCGGCTCCCTTCCAGATCCGCAGCTCTCCCATCGCTGTTCCTCAATTCACTCCTTCCATCTTCCAGGGTGCTCGTCTCTACTCTGCTCCTGCCGGTCTCTCCAAGGACGAGGCCGAGGGCCGGATAGTCAACCTGCTCAAGAACTTCGACAAGGTGCGTCATATTGTTTTGCTGGGGATTTTCGTCATCCATTGGCTTCTACGGGGAAAACAAAAGGCTGACTACGTTTGATTTACTATTAGGTCTCCGACTCTAGCAAGGTTAGTGGATCCGGCACAGGTGTTGTTGTGACCTTCACATAGCTATGAGCTAGGGAGGGGCGACCGCAAAAGATTCAGCTACTAAACCCGCTCGACTTGCAGATTAACGGCACTTCCCACTTCTCCAACGACCTCGGTCTGGACAGCTTGGATACCGTTGAGGTCGTCATGGCCATTGAGGAGGTACGCCCAGGTTTCCCTCGGGAAAGCCCGAATCCCTCATATTGTGCGATGGATATTTAACACATTTCAACAGGAGTTCAGCATTGAGATCCCTGACAAGGAGGCCGACCAGATCCACAGCGGTAAGTTCGGACTTGATGGTGATGTTGGATTATTGACAGCTAACATGAATTCCGCGCACAGTCGAGAAGGCTGTTGAGTACATCCTCGCCCAGCCCGATGGTATGTTTGTATCTCTTCTATTTTCACTTGACAACTTGCTAACTTCTCTCCAGCTCACTAAATACTTAATTGAACGTCGGAGATTGGAGAATTTCGGATAGAAAAAGAATCGGAATGGCATCGGGATTCGCTGGACACAGCGACTCATTGAGATGCTACTATGTATGCTGAACCCATGCTGGCTTTTTTTCGTCCTTCATATCGTGTATATCATTTGAATGCAATTTATGCAATTTTGCAACGCATTGTGTGCAGAGACGCGTGCAGCGACATGTGCAGAGACGTGTGCATAGCTAAGTTATATTGAAGAAAGATACCAGTCCTATAAATGGAGTTGGATTCATGTTTTAAATCTCGAGTGTATCGGATCATGTGTGGAGTTAATATGGGGTTGGGCTGATGCATGTCTTGCGAGCACATTTAGATAAGAGTAGAGAGAGAATGTGTGAAAATGTGGACAGAGAGGAGAGAAGGGAAGAGAGAGGATATGTGATAATTGACTTGGAATAACGTACATGTAGAAAGACAATTCAATTGCTAGTATGGACGACTATCTACAGTTGGTAGGTGGTAAGTGTTCTTTGTCACGGGTGTTGATGTGAAGTGCTGGCACCCGTGGACTGCTTGCTGCATTCGACGAGCCACCTCACCGAACTTCCATCCTTTCTCGACTTCCCTTCAAACTCGTAAAACCCATTGATTGTTGAAACTCATCGTTCTGGCCAACCCACTCGGTCCCTGGTTTCCCCTGACGCCGAGTCCCACTTTGGACACTTTCGGTCTACACGGTCCGTCTAACACCTCACTCCATCAATGCTCCCCACCGGCATACAGATCGGCCTTTAAACACCACGTCGCTATCTCCTTCTCGACTTCTCCCTCTCCCCCTCACCCACACCCGGTCCAGATATCCTCATGGCCTCACCAGCCGGGGGCTTGACTCGCCGAAGAGGCGCCGGTCGAGTCGCTGGCGCAGACGAACAAGATGACAGCCGAGTGTCATCCCCAATCTCCAGAAACGGCTCTGCAATGGATAACCGTGGACCGGAGACGTCTTTCACCAGCGCAGAGAATGGCCACAAGATCGCGTTCGACCCCCGCGACATCAGCGAAAACGAGGAACGGGGCAAGCAGCCAAAATTGACCCTGATGGAGGATGTGCTACTGCTCGGACTGAAGGATAAGCAGGTGAGTGATGACAGCAAACTCGATGGGATTCCTGTCTGCCCGACCGTGGTGCAACTGCTGACCTCGCGCCCACGCCGCACAGGGCTATTTGTCCTTCTGGAACGAAAACATTTCCTACGCCCTACGAGGGTGCATCGTCATCGAACTCGCGCTTCGCGGTCGTATAAGCATGCAGAAGGATTCCTCGCGGCGACGCTTCCCCCTGGCCGACCGCGTCATCGAGGTCATCGACGATACATTGACTGGGGAGGTCTTGCTGGACGAGACGCTGAAGATGATGAAGTCGAGCGAGAAGATGAGCGTAAACTCCTGGATTGACCTGCTGAGTGGTATGATATCTCAACCCCCGAGATGCGATGTGAGGTACCTGCTGACTTACGCGTTCGCGATTAGGCGAAACCTGGAACTTGATGAAGATCGGATACCAATTGAAGCAAGTCCGTGAACGACTGGCAAAGGGACTTGTGGACAAGGGTATTCTCCGGACCGAGAAGCGCAACTTCCTCCTTTTCGATATGGCCACACATCCCGTGGCCGACGGTGGCGCGAAAGACGAACTCCACAGACGGGTGCGCAACATCTGCAGCAACCGCACCGTGATTATTCCTCCCAGCCCGTGGCTCCCTGAGGACGCTGAATACCGCTACCTTCGCTCTATTACGATGGTCTGCGCCGCATACGCCGCCAATGTGCTCGAGAACGCTTTGGTCACTATGAGCCACGAGGCTCGTGAGAGAGCCTTTGCGCAGGTGGATGAGCTGTTGGCCGAGTATTCGCAATGGCCATTTGGCCGGAGGACTGGCGGATCCCAGGCGATTGGAGCCAACCTAGCCCAGGCTGTCAACGACGAGATCAACCGGAACAAGGATAGAGAGCTTCAGTTGGAGGTAAGATACTCTCGTTTCAATTCCTGCACAATATATTAACAACTGCTAGATTGTCGCCGCATGCTTGAGCGTATTCACCAGACTTGATTCTTTACTTTAACCTGATGTACTGCTTTGTCCCTAATACACTGTCTTTCCGCGGCTTTTTTTTCGTCTACCGTCCCAACTGAGGTTCGCACGCTGCCCAGGGATTCGGTTTCTTTTCTATTCACTTATGTAGTTTGTCATCCTTTGGGTTGGAACTTGGGCAGAGCATCGTTTTCAAAGGAACTTTCAAAATTCATCCTTGGGTGGGATATCTCATCAACTTTGATTTCCTTCTTCTCCTGTTTTATTCTTTTCTTTTCTTGAATTTGCTCTCTTACTTGAGACTGTGGATCAAGGCTCACTGTGGAACAGCTTTACAATGATCCTCTACACGTCTCTTCGAGTAAGTAGCCCGCCATCGATAAGCTTGTTCGGCGTTCCAGATTGGTGCACAACCCCAGCTTGATTTGACGCGTTTCCTCAGAATCGTTCCTTCTTCAACTTGCTGCTTTCAATATTTTCAATTGCTCTCGATATCTCAATATACCAAAACACAAATCAAAACCAAAAAGATTGAACACAAACATTCTAAGAAGCAGCAGCAGCCTTCCCAGCCGAACCGGCATTAAAGCCTAACAACCATCATCCTCCCCTTCCGACTCCCGGCAGTCCCAGCAGCCATCCCAGCCAAAAGATCAACGGCCCTCTCAAGATCAACAACAGTATCCTCATTCCCCCGAACAAAATTCCCCTTCACCAAATCCGCAATGCGCGCCATAGCGTCCCCATCCGGATTAGGAGGAACAAACCGAGTCTTGATCCCCCTCTTCCGATGCCCGAGGATATCCCGCTCAGCAGGATAAAGAGGCTGATCCGCACACCGCGCCTCTACAACAGTCATCACTGCCCCGTAGTTCTTAATGACGCGGGGAGCATGCGCTTGCCGGAATACCTCGCCGCCAGTACAGTCCAGCACGATATCAACAGGCGGCCAGCGCTGGCACTTGAACGTGCCCCCGATATCACATTCGTCTGGAAGAGGCAGATGCGGAATCACGATGACCCCGTCAACATCCCACTCTTGTCTGATGATCCCTTCTTCGGCTTTGGTGCAGGTCACACAGATCCAGGGCCGGACTGTGGCTGGGAATAGTGTCTCTGCTCGTAGCAGTTGCACTGCGATGCGGCCGACTTCGTTGTCTCGAGCGTTTGTGATCAATAGTCTGATCGACGGGTCTGAATTCTTTCTGGTTGCATTGATACTGCTGCTGATACTGTCACTGATCCTTCTCGCGATACGGCCTCCTGATTGACCGTTTCGGCTTCCGTTGCCGTTGACCAGGTTTAGTAGGGTATTGCGGTGTTCGTTGCCGTTACCATTCTGATTGGCGCTGGATTGACTCTCGTGATGTCTATTGATCAGGCTGAACAGACTGCCACGCCGTGCATTGCTACTCGGCAGGTTCTGGAGCGTGTCACGGCGTTGCCTATCTGGATCCGGGGTCGGGGTGCTGCTCACTCTGCCTGAACCAGAACCAGCGCCAGAGCCAGGGGCAAGACGCATGGGATTATTCTTGCCCCCATTGCAAGCGAGAATCGTACCACGGCGATTCCATTGCCAAACCCAGTGCCCATTCTCACCACTTCCACTTCCACCACCACTGGCCAAATCATTCCCCAAACTCCCACGCTGCTCCTTAAAATTGGCATCAACAACACTCCCATGAAACTCATTCCTCCCATCCCCCCCAACAGCATTCCCATTTCTAACCCCACTCCCATGGCCCGTAAACTTCTCGAACCCATAAGCAGGATCATTGGCAAGAGTATTCTTCCTGGACTCATGCCAAGTCCACCGACCAGTCCCATTCCCCCCAGCATCCCCATCCTCATCCAACCCGCCAGGAACATCCGGATCAAGCCCCGCATATCGAAAAAGCGCCTGCCAAGCCGTGAGCGCCGGCAAAGCCAACGCCGCCGCTTCAGCCGTAGTAATATTCCCCGGTTTAAGCGCCAACTCTGCCTCATACGCAACCGCATAATCCGCGGCGCCCCCGTCCCGCGTATAACTCAACAACCCAAAGACCACATCTCCGATCCGGAAGCGTGGACCTTCATTCCGGTCGTCGTCTTCGCGGGGTGTACTGATAACCGTGCCGCAGAGACTATGCAGTGGGATTTGAGGTGTTGTCTTTTGCGGATTCAGCGCGGAGGCGAGTCTTATTTCGTCGTGGCAGAAAGCTGCTGTTCGGACCTTGAGGAGGTATTGGTGGGCTGAGGGTTGTGGTGTTGGGAAGCTTGTGTCGAGGACTAGACCCGAGCCGTGTTTGCGGATGGTGGTTTTGGTTTCGTCGAGCGATTTGCCGTCGCCTTGTGTGCTGTCTGGGAGGTCTTTTGTTGTTCCTTGGGGGGTGTAGTAGAGAGCTCGCATTGTGAGCGGTGTGAATGGGTTATCGTTTGGGATTGCGGTTGATGCGCGCTTTGCTGGGTTTATGTCTGTTGGGATGTTTGGGTGTAGACTTCTGGATATTTTGGCATGGTCGTGCATTTTGGCGGTTCTCTAGTTGTTTTGGTTTATATTTGGTGGGTTTGTTGGTTTGATGTTGAGGGTTTGCCTTTTGGTCTATAGATTCAAGGCTATTTCCTAATCTTGACGTATGTAGGGCTTAGCTCAGCGTTGCCACTGTTTGATACTTCCGATCAATGCGATTGCTTATAATATTCCCTATATAGTATAATCCAGTTCCAATTGGATTGAGTTATAGGAAGAGAATGGGTGGTGCCGCCTCGTATGTCTCTTGGATGACTTAGGGCTCAGTTGAGGTTGTCATTTCACGATGATATTTGATAGCCAATTTTGAATTAGTGCAGAAACAAAATGCTAATTAGAAAACCCAAACAAAAAATAGAAACAAACTAAATGTCCTAATCCTCCAGACCAAGCCCATCAACAAACTCATACAACTCCTCAGGATCCTCAAAGACCGTCCAGACATGATCCGGCACATTCTCAAAAGCCTTCTCAAACCTCTCCGGCTCATTCTTCTCCTCCATATGGGCCACATCAGTAACCTTACGAATAGCAATAGCCTGAACCCACCCAGGGTACCGCTCATACATCTCAGCATAAGCCTCAGGATCCTTCTGCGTCGAATCCCCAATACAAAGCACTCTCCTCCGCGGGAACCAGCCCTGAATCTTCTCCATCCGATCAACCTTATATTCCTGCGTCTTCTCGGTAAAAGACCGAATCAACCCAGTAATATCCATCCAAGAATAATCCCTCAACACCAGCGTCCCAGCACAATAGTGCTCACGCAAGAACTTATGCAAAAAGGGATAAAGATTATAAGGCGACGCAGACAAATAAAACCAAGCCGGTGCCCCTAACTCCCCATCAACCCACCGATAAAACTCAGGCATGCCACTAATAACCTCCGGCTCCTCAACAAACGTCGACCGAATAATCCCCGTCGGCTCAAGCGTCATCGTCCGCTTAATCGTATCGTCAATATCAGAGATAACCAACCACCCATGCGGCCTCGCAAACGTGGTATTCATCGACACACTCCTGCCCCCGAAATCATACAACCGCGGCCTGACAACCGTCCCATCATGAATATGACCCACGTCCCCATCCCCAAGCTGAACACTCTGACTAACAATCCCATTCCGATCCGACGGGCCCAGTTCATGCCATTGCCCGCGTCGGCTGATAGGCACATGCAGCGTGATAGTCCGCGACGGCGAAACCTGATCCAAGAATGGCTGCACGCGGTGTTCGATTCGTCGGCGTATTTCGTGCTCGTGTGTGCTGCCTAGTTCGCCATCTAGGCCGATGTAGTCTGCTATTGCGGCGACGACTTTGCCGACGTCTTTTCGGCCGCCTTTTTCGAAGATGCAGGCTACAACCTCTGCGTGCCAGGTTTTGGATACGATTTCGTTGTGTTTGTTGTATGTGGTGCGTTGGTAGGCTGTGTTGTCTAGTAGCCACACTGTGTTCTTGTGTGGGTCTGCTGGTCGGCTGAGTGGATTCTTTGTGCCGAGGAAGGAGGTGATGTAGCTTATTATTGTTGAGCTGCGGCGTTCTGGGGGTGGGCGGTCTGGGGAGGACCGTGGGGAGCCACGGTTATGTTCATGTTCATGTTCATGTTCATGTTCGTGGTTGTGGTTATGGTGACGGTGATGAGTGTCGGCGACCGAATGCTCTTCTTGGTCATGCGCCATTATGGGCTTGTTGGTAGGCTGCTGATGATAGTTGATACTGTCGTCTGAAGGGGATAGTGGTTCGAATCCCAGCAGTTTATATGCAAGTAGATGATATGAAAGATGAAAAATCCCAAGGAATATCCCTGAGAGCTAAATAGCACATGCTAGAGCGAAGTGATAGGCGTCAGAAACTCATCAGGGGAGAACGCTGATCATATAGCCCCGCTCGCTGACGATCTAACGTTAGTCTAACTTTGGAAGTGGTCGGGAGCCTCCATCCCGCCTGATCTCAAGGCTCATAATCATAAGCAAGGCACTCGTATTGAGGCAGTGAACATGACGTTCGACCCCGGTGACTGCGTATCAGTCGATGGGGTCACCCGTTGCGGGGTGCTTGGCAGTAGGGCTGAGTTTGCCCTCAGGTGCTGATCTGGCCTGTCTGCAAGCACTGCCTCTATTTGTTAGTTCATACTTCAGCTTGGGAGACTTGGGAGATTATTATGTTTTTGCATGGTAACGTGCCAAGCCGAGGAATAACAATAGCTTAGAAACTTGCACAAAGTAATAATAATAGCCGACTTTAGAGAATCCTTGGATACTAACGGATATTTAGATGACTACTAGAATGCCACGAGTTGGACTATACATCGCTCATATACCATGCATCTCATAAATTCTTCCAGAATAAACATGCATCGAGACCCTGCATATGGTTCGGTTCGTGGTAACATCCTGCATGAACCCCCTCGACCCCTCATGCCCACACCTGCAGTTCCCACCTGATACTTACAGTATACGTAAACGATCGTCATGGTTCTGAGATAAACGGTGTAAACTTGATATTTTGCAAAACATGACTTCGGAGCCAAGTAGCCAAGCCGAGTTACACACAGAGAAAACACATGATTTGGCCATGAGGTCGAGATACCATGTGACCTAAGGGGACAAGATATGTGAATGGTGAAATTAGCGAGTAGAATATCAAGTTCTTGCACCAGTACATCCCTTTTGAATAGACTTAGTCTAAGTTCAAACCCACATCGTAGAGACCATCCCGTTATCCCTTGCATAGCGCACTTATATCTCCGCAACTCTATATCTGTAAAATTTATATGCTAACGACATGCAGAGCATACAAAATACCCCCTCATGCGAGTAATCCTACTTTGTACAAACCCACACTAGCATCCTATTAGATTACAGGGGCAATCGCGTGATCTTCTGGTGTAGATGAAGTAATTAAAGAACAACGAGAAAGACCTTGATACAACGTGGAGTATCGACCCGAAAAACTAGCAAACAGCGGGACCAGTCGTCCATTCTGCGTCGGGACATTCGTGCATCGATCTCTGCCATGTGCATGCTGTGATCCGTCGTTGTCTGGTATCGACATGCTGTGAGTGGCTTCTCGGCTGATAACACTGTCCCTGTAGAGGTATGCGCAGAATACCTCCTGTCTGCTATTGTAGAGTTAGTACTCGAAAGGGGTGATTTTGCGGCTTACTTTCTCGATCAGGTTTTGGTGGGGTGTTGGGGTTCCTAGGATATGGGATCAATGAAGCCATCCTTGCCAAAGGCTAGGATAACGAGGAGGATGCCTTCGAGCTTTGCTTTCATGTAGTCAATTTCCAATTTGTTTTTCAATTTTCTTCGTCTGCTGCGCAGTCTCGTCTGAATGTCTATGCAGGGCCCATTCTTGTAGTTAGAATCGAGTTCCTGTTCACAAAGCTCTTGCTTTACCATGAAGCTTGATTTTCTGCTAATAGATCTTCTTGGCCTATTTATCGAACTTGCTTGCAAAGGAACGGACAGTTCGTGGGCGGTTACTAGCCAAGGGCAAGATCTCGGCCTCCTCTAGCGTGAATTGTAGACTATCGTCTTCGTCTTGAAGCATCAGCGGCTCGAGAACCCCAGATATCCAAGCCTCCATGTTCCCAACCTTGTTAATGACATTATTGTGGCTTGCTTCAAACAGGTGTATGCTGTTTTCAGATGTCGTAACGTCGCCAATTAGCTCTTGTTCGTACTCGAACCCATCAATCATTAGCACGCAGGACTCGTGAAGGGCCTGTTTTAGTTTGCCCTGTTGTTTCAGCGCATTTGTCCACTTGGTCTGTTCTTCCAGCTTGGATGCCAGCTTTGCGTTTTGGTCAGTAAGGCTAGATATCTGTTTTGCCTGGCTGTCGAGCTGAGAATTCATCTTCTCGTTTTGTTCTTTGAACTGCGAGAGTAAGACATTCTAAGATTCTCGCAGGTCAGAAATCATTCTGTTCTGTTCATCAAGCTCCTCCAACAAGGCTGGCGCTTTGTCTTCCATCTCATCTTGCATAGTCTCAATAGGCTCCCGAGTGTGGTCCAGATTTTCATGGCAATAAGTTTCATGCAGGGCATCACTCAACCATTCAATGTAGGTATATACCGGATCTAACGTTTCGCCATGTCGGTCTCGTAAAGCGGGCATTTCCCTTCTTTCTCGAGTTTGCATTCAAACTTTGCTTGGTGCTCCTTTACGCTGGAGAATAGGTTCTGCTCCATGCTGTCCTAGGTCAGCTGTCCTGTTCACAGCATCACAAGGCAAGAAATTAGTACGCATTTTGTGTTGTAGTGCGTTAGTTTAAGTGTAAGTGTTATGCAAGGTGATAGTAAGAGTAGGTGGATGAAAAGTAAAGAGAGGGTGAAGTGGGAGGTAAATGAAGGTGAAGTGAGTCACTGGGGGTGTTGCTTCTAGAAAGCTGAGTCTCTAAGTCCTTGGTGTTCCTCCGGTTTCTATAGTGCGCAATTGTACTCATTCGGGATCGCATATCGAACTATACCTAGCAACTGCACCAAAGAGAATTCTGATAGAATTTAATGGACCTATGAACTTTTCGGTTTATTTCCCAAGCCGTTTGCCATACATATAGGCACCTTGAGAAAACATCGGGGACATGAATCATAAAATATGCAATTTGGAGGTTCACAGCAATGCTACCTCCAGGTGTGCATGTGCGGGTGGTCACGGGACGCACTTGCGAGTAGGAAATTGTAGTAGACGTTTTAATTGTCCGACTGGAAGCGCTTTTGGGCGGAGACAAATCTTTCATAGTGGAATGGGGCTGGGCCATGTTCGATGGCCTGGCGACCCAGTCTCGAATAAGCGGACCCAGCGCATCTGATATGAGTGTTTCCTCTGTCGGGTTTTTGAATGCCTTGCTCCCAAGACTGTGGGCTGATCATAGAATTTCAACCTATATAGATGAATCCAGGAAAACGATATTCCCTCACCATCTCTTAGGTGCAGAAAGTTCGGTCCGAGAGAACGAGGCGGTAACGGTTTCTTTTCCTTTCCGCTGCTGGATTGCTTTGATTCCGGTGCGGTCAGTGACCGTAGTCGCATTGATGATGTTGTCAAATGCTTCATCCTCGCTTCCTGCAGAGCCAGACTCAGCATCCGAGTCAACGTACAGCTGCTCAGGACGAGCGATTTTCTCGGGTTGCTGTTTCTCCTCGGCTTCTGGGTTTTGGAAAGACTTCGAACTGAGGATTTTGCGACGAATCTCTGCCATTTGTTCTTCGTCTTCGGAGTCATCGGAAATCGCAAATGGGTCCTTGTCTTCCTCTTCCTCCTCGTCGGTTCCTTCTTTTTCGCTGCCCTCTTCTCCGCTTTCGTCGTCGTCGTCGTCATCATCGTCGTCAGAGTTCCGTGCCGGTAGCCGGTTGGTGTTTCCAGTAGTCCAGATATCGTCGCCTCCGTCTGCGCGGTTTTCTTCATATTCCCGTTCGATCTTGGCAAGCCATTCTGTCTCTGCGTTTTTGACATCCTCCTCGGTTTCGCAAGCGGCGTAGCGCTTAAGAAGCTCTGAGTTAATATCCAAGAAAGATTGTCCGTAGCTGAAATGCCTGAGGAGATCCTCAGCCCACTCTAGACGGCCACAAATAGCGAAACAGGCGGCGAGCGCCTCGACACAGTTCAAACGCCATGGCTTGCCGTAGTTGACAGTATTGGCGGCGATAAGGTAAGGAACTGTGCGCCAGAATAGTCAGCTTCCAATAAGCCTCGTAGGTGTCCGACTGAATCACATACGGAGTCTTTCGCACTTTCCGCCAATCCGCGACCAAGGCACCTCCTGGACGCGCACCCAGGAGCATTCGACGACTGCCGCACCGTGTTGTTCCATAAGCTCCTTGTCTGCAGGGGAAACGATCCGCTTTGCATTTGGACTGGCCGTGGGTCGTTAGTATGTTTAGCCAAGAAAAATGCGATGCGAAACATACGAGATGATCACGCCGGGGTGGCGCTGGCCAATATGGAGATCCCGCATCAATCCCAGCTTCATCAATCGCTTGCCGGAGCATCGCTTGGGGTCGCAGTGTCCCATATCCCAGCAAGCGGCCTTGTAGGCCGGCCGCGACGAGACAGCACCCTCAGTATCTTCATTGCCGCGGGGCACTGGCTTAGGGCGGGGATTGAATTTCTTGCCTCCTCGCGAGAAGTTATCTTTCTTGTGGCGGACCATTGTATGTGACGAATAAGTGTTAATCAATACAAATTGAAGTCAACTCGAGTCGCGAAAGAAGGAAAAAAGATCAAGGCTAAGCACAAGAGCCACACGTGCAAACTAACCGGTTCTCCGCCCGCCTCAGCCCCCCCATCATTGTACACATATCGCATTCCTCGATTGCATCTTCCCCGACTTCGTCTCTCTCTTCGATCTCTGTTTCTTATTTCCTATTTATACCGCCATCCTGGAGGCTGCCTCAGCACGAATGGCGGCTAGGGACCGCTTCGGGGCCTACCCTGAGCCGGGGTTTACGCCGCTGCAGCGGGCAATCCGTGAGTATTGATCATGAACTGGAAGGATATAGAAGAATCTAAGCTAATATTTGATTTCTTCCAGGAAATGCATGCGATCCCCAGAACTACGAGCCCAACCTGGCCCTGAACCTCGAAGTTGCAGACCTAATCAACTCCAAGAAAGGCAATGCGTGAGTTGGACACCAATGTCGGCAGGGATGCGCATAATCATAACCTCTCTCCTAGACCTCGAGAATCCGCATTCGACATCGTTCATCTTATCAATTCCCGAAACCAGAATGTCGCGTTGTTAGCCTTGGCGGTACGTGGGGAGCTCAAATGACAGCTGGCGCAAGGAGACTGACCAGCAATAGCTACTCGACATTTGCGTCAAAAACTGCGGATACCCGTTCCATCTCCAGATCAGCACAAAGGAATTCCTGAATGAATTGGTTCGCAGGTTCCCCGAGCGGCCGCCTATGCGACCCTCCCGGGTCCAGCACCGCATCTTGGAGTCGATCGAGGAGTGGCGGCAGACTATCTGCCAAACATCGCGCTACAAGGAGGACTTGGGTTTCATCCGGGACATGCATCGTCTTTTACTGTACAAGGGCTACATGTTCCCGGAGGTACGCCGAGAGGATGCTGCTGTCTTGAACCCGAGTGATGTATGTGCACCGGATCTCGTTGTTACGTCAAGATTGAGCTAACAGTTTTAGAATCTCCGCTCGGCTGATGAGATGGAGGAGGAAGAGAAGGAGGCGCAATCTGCAAAGCTCCAAGAGCTGATTCGCAGGGGCACCCCTGCCGACCTTCAGGAAGCCAACCGGCTAATGAAGGTTATGGCTGGTTTCGACAATCGGCACAAGACCGATTATCGGGCCAAGGCGGCGGAAGAAGTGTCCAAGGTGCAGCAAAAAGCTAAAATTTTGGAGGAGATGCTACAAAACCAACAGCCTGGGGAAGCTCTCCCTGAAGGCGACGTGTTCGAGGTGCGTGATCTAACCAATACATGCTATTCTACAATGGTATCGACTCTAACATCCTATCTCGATTAGGAGCTTGCGAACGCTTTGCAAAGTGCCCACCCCAAGATCCAAAAGATGTGCGAAGAGGAATCGGAAGACCCCGAGGCCGTTCACAAGCTGCTGGAGATCAACGACAGCATACACCGCACAATCGAGCGGTATAAGCTGGTTAAGAAGGGTGATTTGGATGCTGCAGCTAGGATTCCTAAAGGAACACTCGGTACTACGACTGGAGTTTCCACAAATGCCAACAACGAGCTCTCTCTTATCGACTTTGACCCAGAGCCTCAACCAAGTTCTAACGGTAACGAGGCCGGCCTATCCCAGGGTGGTAGCTCCTTGGAGAATGACCTTCTCGGCCTTTCACTAGGAGAACAAGCCCCCTCTCCCGGCGGTGGTATCTCCCTCGGACCTTCCAGTAAGTAATGCCCATTGCAAATCCCGATCCTTGTCACTAACAGTATTGCAGACAATTACCCATCCATGTCAGCAGGCTCAACACCGCCTATCCCACAGCCTCAGCAGACGCCGGCATCGTTCAAACCTAATTATGATATCCTCGCTTCCATTAACAGTTCGCGACCTGTTTCTCAATCTCCAACACCCGCCATGCGGGCATCACCCCAAGTCCAGTCCACGGCAACCCCGCCGCCAGCCGATCCATTTGCATCGCTCGTCTCTGCCAGCCCTAGGGCGGGATCTAGCCCATTCCAACCGCCCCCAGCGCAAAGCCACCCAGCTCCAGCCTCCTCGTCCTTGCTTGATCTGGTCGGAGGTCCCAGTTCGTCACCGCAGCCGGCGCGGCAGGCCGCGAAGGCCGAAGCTGATGATGAGTGGGATTTCGCTTCTTCCCTGCCAGCCAGCAATGCACTCCCCACGACAAACAAGATCCAAGTTCTCAACTCCCAGCTTCTCGTTGACTTTGCTGCGCGCAGAGTGCCAAACCAGCCACGTCAAATCCACGTTGTGGCCGTCTTCTCAAACCCAACCAGCCAACCCATTGGGGAGCTCCACTTCCAGGTTGCTGTGGAGAAGGTAAGCTACAGTCCCTTTCATTCGTCATTCCCCATAATGAGTTACTAACCATCTCTAGTCCTACACCCTACAACTCCGCCCGCAATCAGGCCGAGACATTGCCCCCGGACAGCAGAACGGCGTCCAGCAAGAAATGCTCATGGACGGCATCGATGCAGGAAAGGGCAATTCGGTGAAAATCCGATTCAAGGTGTCCTACAAGCTTGGTGGCGAGGCCCGCGAGGAACAGGGCATGGTGCCACCTCTAGGCATCTCCTAGACAAAATGCGGACCCAAAATCAGGTCTTAATTTAGTCTATGCTCTAGCTCGATCCGCCCTACGGGCCCAGAGCGGTCCGAAGTAGGCTCGAAAGAACCGAGCAGACAGCATCCTGTTTAGATGTTGCATTGCTTTGTGGTTCTGTCTGGTTTCTGTGCTGAAACTGGCTGCTCTGCTTCCAGCCTCACGGCAACCTTTCCCCCCTGCTCTTGATGTGTTTTCCCCCACTTGGCTTTCCGCCCATTGAGAACTTAGCGTCCTTATTCATGCTGTTTATAAAGAAGATTAAGCTTTCATTACCTGTACTACTTACTCGCTTGAGAAAGGTGGAGGAAAATATTTGAAAGATTCGCACATCAAGTTTCGGTAGAGGTCCTACTAAGATTTGGACGCTAATAGGATTAGCAAGTTAGCAAGTACCGCGGGGTCCTATTGGACCCTCACTTATGATATAGTACAAAACACAACAGAAAGCAACATAACAAGACCTCGGCATCTGTTCATGTACACGTACCCCAACCCTAATCGCTTCCTACCCAAGTAAACCAGATACACAACTCGCAAAGCACCAAAAAGCTAGTTCTACAACAGTCACATACCTATACTACCGCGAACCCTAAATATTAGAAATCAGATCAAATCCGCGGAGAAATATGATCCCATCGCCGCTTATCACCTCCCCAGTAACGAATTCCCTTCTTGGTATACAATCACGCCGTTTAGGTCACAGCCTCGGTATTCCGACTCATATATCAGATGAACGCTATAGCGGCGGAACGAAGCGACATGGATATCCGAATGATCGGCCGGGTATGTTGCTGTTTGCCGAGCCCGAGGAGAAGTGATTCCGATTATTCTCCGGTCTCTGTCTCGCTCTGTGAGTACTGTAGGGTGTGGGTTAGGATTGATTTCAAGGTGTGGGTCGGGGGAAGAATCGGAGGTAATTGTACTGTATAGGATAGCCTAGTATAGTATCTAGCAGAATATATTTGCTCTATGTGTTTCGATTTACTCGCTTGACGAGGCTATCAGCTCGCAACAACAGGCAGCTGGAAGCACTAAGCTGGAGAGGTATGAGGTCCTGTTTGTCCGTCAGCATGAATAACGCAGCGTGTATGGAGGCGTGATGAGAGAGACACTGCAGAAAAGGCTCGACAGCGAGTCTGACCACAGGAAGGGCATGCGACATGGCACCGGGACACGGATGGCTGCCATCGAGGAGGACATGGAGGGTACATAGCTCCCTCAGCAAATTATCATCTCTATCTTCTGTTGCTTATGCGTAGATAAGCTTACAGGTTGGAGAGCATTGTATCGGTATGGGACATTGATTAATACATTGCGGGGTATTTGTATGTTGAGTAGCTTGCAGGGACACAAAATAATTGTTGCAGCCCAAAGCTTTGGGAGAAACAATGGTCTCTCACGTCGCCGGTATACTTATCAAAACGGCCGACCTCCAACCCTTTTATTCCGTTTCTCGGTCATTTCGAGGGGCTTTCCAAAAGTCCAATTCTAGCGTGATAGCAGTGTACAATGTACTGCTATATCTTGCTGACTGTATAGCTATCGTTGTTCTAGAGACAGGTCGAAGAGCTGTGCGAAGTACGACTTCCAATGTCTTGTCTGTATACTTACGTGGACCCAGATAGCGCGGGGCCATGGCACGCTATGTATGCAACTAGATAGCATAGTGCCAACGCATAATGACAGGGATGTTGAAGCTTGCGCCACAGTTTCCCCTCATTTTGTTTCAGATATGCATAAGCTTCTATAGAATCTATTTCCTTTGCTCCTCTCTTATTCCACTAAACACCTGTACATCTACACTTACAGCCCCTAATGATATGATACAGGATCCCTTGAGCCAAAGCAACTAAAGCATACCAGTAAAACACCAGTAGACCCCTGATATTCTATACAAGATATTGTTGACATCCCAACCACATAGGGTTGGGTAGCTATCACAACTATCACCCAACGGTACTTATCGCGCACCCCCTGTTAACCACCATCAACCATCGCATCCAATACATCCAGTGCATACCAAAGCACCAAAAATGCATCCCACCAACAAATAACTTCCTAACAGGAACCTGGCATGTAACCCACACCAGCCTCCCCTCTGGAAAAGACAAACTCAACGTGAAAATAACCTACAGACCCCTGCCCCCCTCACCAAGCGGGATAGCCCAGCTCGACGATCCAGTCCAATATCAGGGTATCAACTACTCAAAAATAAAATCCATGCGTGGGATTGACATGCCAATGCCCGGTGCTCCTGGAGCATGGGATTGGTGCGGGAGGGGTTGGTTGGTTATTGCTAGTTCGCACTGGGTGTGTCTTGGTTTTGGGCGTTCTGACGATGGGAATGAGCGGGTTATGGCTTATGGCTTATTTGCGAAGATGGTTTTCACGTCAGCAGGTATTGATCTTTATTCGAGACGGAGGGAGGAGTTGGAGGGGGTCGTTGTTGATGGGATCCTTGGGACTTCGAGGGGCCTGAGCATTGAGGAGATTGGCAGGCTTGTTGAGGGGGATTTTGAGGTTCCGAGGGATTAGATTAGGTGGTTTCTCTTGGAGGTTAGTAGGTAGTGCGGGTGAGATGAGGGCTTGGATATGGCGGTGTGACATGTGGTGTTGGCGTGTCGCAGACAGGGCACATTACGAGTGACTATAACAGCCCTGAAAGGCTTTTGAGGAAGTGTCTGTGATGCTGGCTGGGTGAATAGACGAGGTACTGTATTTAGTACAGCTGAGATAGACCTGTATAGATAGGATGAGCCAATTAAAACACCCATATCCGTTTTCACATGGCCTCTGCGCCCTAAGCATGTGGCTGGATTATTACGAAGATATTTGTCAAGCGACATGCTGAAAATTGAGACAAATGGAGCCACACTCGACCTATTAACCGTCTACTGAGGCGTAGTGCATGCATCGAGACCGAAAACCAATGCTTGAGCGTTGTAAGATCGGTGGGGTCGATCAGCTGGATTTGCCGAGCCCCCACGAGATAATTGCAATTTAGCAGTTCATGTAGCCTTAAAGGGCAGATCTAGAACATAACTACCCTCAAATTGCCATTACCACACATTTGTTATGTTCTGAAGTCCAAGTGGCAATTGCCTGAAGTGGCTTAGATTCGGCCGGGTGATAAGCGATAAGGAGGGCTAGACCGGTGGCGTGCCTAGAGAGTTTGGCCTCAATATGGCGTTGTTATTCTCCATGGACTGTTAGGCTGTATTAGGTAGCTGAGCTGAACATGGCTTACTGGAACCGAGGTCAAGCTCTATCTCGCAGGGCTGACTGGCCGGCTCAACTGCGACCAACCATATACCAGAGACTTGCAACTGTAGAACATTACTCCGGTTTACAATGGGCCCCAGCACCTTCGCTAATCTTCGGCTAGGCCTGGCTAAATACGCCTGCAGGTCCAACATCTCCTGATCCAAGTGGCGGTGCAAGTGGAGAACCTTTAGGCTGAATGAATGTCGCCTTGGAAGAGGTCCCGAGTATTCACGAGTACGGGGAAGTACACCATTAGATAGACGAGAACCCTCGGAAATGCCGTGAGGCAGAACATGGGAATGGATCCGTTGATTAAAACTCGCGTTCATTACTCTTCTAGGCAGGTGATGGTCGTAAGATGCATGGCCGAACGTTGTCCGTCGAGGATCGTCGATCGATGCATATCTCCAAGAGAATAGACTACGGCAGATCAGATCGGAGGTGATGCAGGTCCAACCTATCGAATATTGAGGTTGCCTTGGGTTCTTCAACATCGTGTAAGGGTGCGGCTCCAGGCGAAAGCCCGATCCGGCTATCACGTGTGTCAGAGCACCCTACGGTAGTATTTGGTTGGCTCTGCGAGATGGGAAAAAAAAAGGAAGAGGAAAAGTAACAGAAATGTAAGAATGGGTAGGGATCAACGGGGTTAACGCTTGATCTGCAGGGCTTTTTGGGCTTTTTGGGCTTTACGGTAACATAACAGATCTGGAGTAACCCCCCACTTTCCAAGTTCATATCTTGATAAATTGAAGTCTAGACTCATTTCCGCAAAACGGGGTATATCTGCAGCTTACCTGCAAAGGAAGAAGTATCCGGAGGACAGGAAGCCCCGCGAATGGTACTCGTATTGGTAGTCGCGGGCTGGAACGTTAGTAAAGAGGGCAAGAGCCAACCATGGATCGCGGTGGGCGAAGGTTTTTAAGTAGCCAAACTATGATCGTCTGAAATCCATGGTTCTGGTCCTAAGCTTAGAGAGGGCCTGACACCTGCCCCTCTATATTTAAGTGCCCCCGCCCGTATGTATTCTTTTCTGCACATCCATACTGCCTTTAGTTATGGACGCTGATATCACCCCGATCCCCCGCTCGCGGGAGGAGAATCAGGAGAGGTACGTACTTTCCAATTGATACAAGACCTTGCTAACCATATACTAGAGCCTTTATCGCTGCGTCGCGGCGAAAAGATCGCAGCCTGGATGCACGGCTAGAATCGGCCAATAGGGCCTCTATGCTGCACAAGAAACGCACAGGCAAGGGCTTTCACATCACCAAGGAGATTGTCGAAAGAGAAGCCATGTATGAAGAAGTCGACGAGCGCTATGCAGAGAAGCGTATCCGCATGCTGCAAGCTCAGAACATGCAAATCGAACAACAGTTCCACCGCCATCTGATAGCAGCCTTTGGTAATCGTCAGTCTCCTGGATCTTCAATCGCCAACCGCCGAGCGAGCACTTATACACCCCGCCCATCAGCGGATGGTGGCCCTCGCAAAATGAGCCTGGACCTGACCAACATCCGCTCGTCCTTCCCGCAAGATTCAAACTCCGTGGCAAGCCCCTTGGCAACAGGCGACGGCTACATCCTCTCGCCAGCAACATCCTTCGACAACAACGCCAATTCCTACATGGCCTGCATGCCCGGCTCCGAGGCGCCATACTCAATGGTCACCCCCTCAACAGGCCCCAACTCAGCCCAGATCCCAGAGTACGTGAATCAGCAAGCCACCACCCCAGCATGGAACACCCAAATGCCGAACTGGGCCATGCAACAGCAAGTCCCCACTCCAGGCCAAACCCCCACCGACCAAGTGCAAATGTGGCAGCAAAGCATGATGCAGCAACCCACAGTGCCAGACACCATCCAAATGCAGCGCCAATTCAGAGACCGATTAGCCTCCGCGCCGGAATTTCCTCTGCACCAAGCTCCACGGGTCGCGCATTCGGGTTCCATCACTGGCCCCACGCCCACTCCCTCTGGCCACTCGCGCGGCCAGTCGCAGCCCAGTAATAGCTACCACAACCTCCACCTCCTTACCCAGAGCACGCACTTCGCTATGCCACCGTCGAGCGCTAGCTCCCCTAGGATTGAGGCGCTGTCTGCGGAGACGCACTCGACTCCTGATTTCTGTCCTACGCCTCATAGTCCCATGTCGCCGACTGCTGCTGCTGCTCAGATGAGTATGCCTGCGCCTGTCAAGACGGAGAGTGGGAATGGAAATGGAAATGAGGATGGCATTATGGTGTCCAATGAGGGGATGGATGCGGATTATTCGGATTTCAGTCAGTTTGCTTTGCACTTGGGGAACTCGACTGTGCCGCTTTCTGATCGTGAGCCGTTTGGCTTTGACGATTTTGTCGCTGTTGACGAGTTTACCAGCGTTTCTTGTTGATTTTTTTCTTCTTCCTGATGCCCCCATTACGATCAGTGATACCTGATATACCCAGGTAGTTATTTTCTTCTTTTCTTGACTTCATTTCTTTCTTGTATATCCGCTTGACTCTTTTGTGGCTTTGTATATTCGCTCCTGTATCATATTTCAAATCCATTTCTCATTTAATATTTTGAACAGAGTTGCTGTGTGTGAACCTAAGCGGAAGGGGGAGTATCCGATCGAACCGAGTTGCTCTTTTCCGTTTTTCATTTTTTCACCTACCATGAGTCTACTTGCACAGTGACATGAAACCACAATTCACATCAACCCTGAAGATCTCGCCCTGGTCTATTCTATTTCCGTCCCACAAAATGATCGACGTTGCATTGACACTCCCGCAAACATCAACGCAACGCCAAGTCCACACCCCTAATCCGGCGATGTCCCCACTGATGATCGACGCAACTGTATGTTCGCTGGATATTCACCCTGCGCGATTATTGGCATCTCAGTTTTCATATGTGGACTGTGGGTGTTTTACTCTCGGTCTCTGTCTCGGTCCCAGCCTCTGTGCTCTACCGGGCCGTGCCAGGTAGCTAGTAGCTAGCTGTAGCTGTGGCTATTTTCTCCACTGTAACTTTGGGAGTTACTTTTTTCTCTCCCATTTTCCAATGAGAGTGGTTTACTTGAATAATTAACTCATGGGTTTACATGTACGGGTAAATCTGACGATACAAGTACCGCACCGCATTGAGTTAAGGAACTCTATTCATACCCGCAGAGCAACAGTTTCTAACTGCAAAAAAAATAAGAAAGTACAAGTTGAAATCTCGCAATGTTGCCTTAGACCTAGATACTATGAGGTATATTCTATCAATACTACCTATCAAAGGGTCAAACCAGAAGTTCTCTAACTGGACAAACCGTGGAATACCCCCCTTTGTTAATTTGTCATGCCTATGTCATACGGAGTCTATGTAGCGATGGTTCCCAGGTCGACAGATAGGGCGTTGTGTGGGACAAAGGTACTTTCTGCGACTTTGAATTTTCTTAGCGGGAGGGGAGGTAAGCTCTCCCTGCATTTTGCCTCCCCTGGCTTCGATTCTGTGGTAGGAGGTCTTGTGCTCCTTTACTTTGGTTTTTTGGTTGGGTATTAGGTTTTGGAAGTCGGAGGCTCTTTTTTGTATTATTTAATTCATATTGATTAGTTAGTCGATAAAAGAAGGTTGGTAGCTCGTGTGATATGTAGAGAGTGATTTTGGTGTAGGTTGGACCTGCAGGATTGCAGGATTGAAATGACGTTGTTGTTGGGTAGCTAACTTAGCTCCTGGGGGGGTATGAGCGATGAGGCGTTCCCGAGATCCTGGATCAACGGTGATCGTGCAGGATCGACCAGTCCAATTTTCCCATTAAGTTCCATATTCCATATAATGCAAGGCAAGCTACGACCTGTGGATAGATGGAAATTAGCGAAAAGTATACCAGATGAGGCAAAGAGGTAAACCATCGCATTGACAGGTCGGAGACCAGACTAGGAGGCAAAACCCAAAGTCACCCAGGGCGGAAAAAAGAAACGAAAAATTAAATTAAAATTAAAATTAAAAAAAAAAAAAAAGACGAAAACGCCAAATCGGGCGAGCTGCAGAAAGTTCCCAGATTGCGGGGTTAAGGTTGCAGCTTTCTACTAATTCACCAAGTGCCCCGATTGGCCCGATAACTTAGACTCGGCATGAGTCCTGTATCGAGGGCACTAAGCAAAGCCTATCACCAACTAACAGCAACAGAGAACAAAAACCTGAATAACTGCAGAATATATACAAGTCCCAATCCCAGTCTCGCCTGAACCCTATCACCTCGATCCACAATTCCCCACCGGGTCCTCAAACCATGGTCCCCGCCCGGATTCGATCCAGTTGCAGACCCCGTGCACCGCTGCAACCGCCTGATTGGATATATTGGATCTGGTTATCTGGCGTTCTACTCTTTCCCTGTTGGGAGATATCCTACAAGTGGTTTTGTGGTTTCGTGGCGTGGGGGTTGCCGTATGAGCCGTTGGTCCTGCACGGGCACGTCAAACGGGGCATTAAACTTGGAAAGGGGGTGGTTCGAGCTGGTGATAGGTTATTTCCTTCGCTTCCCTGATCGGCAAGAGGTGCATGGTTGCTGGGTTTGGCTTTTTACTCGTGGGTTCTGGCTTGGACCTGGGCCTGGCTCTCGGTTTTTGCGTACCTGCGTTTTTTGATGAGCTGATCAGCCAAGACGGAGGGTGCTTTGCGCTGTGAGGCTAGAGAATTTGGGGACGGCGCCGGGTGGATGCTGTCAGCTGGTATGACTTAATTTGGTATCTGTCGTTATCTTGGCCTTTGTATAGAACTGTTACCGGGTACTTTTAGGTACTGGAGTCTGGGTAACTTTCAGTCCGGGCTCAACTCAGCCGACACGTGATCATTTCGGCAAGTTATAGTTTTCGACTTCCGTATGTCCGACTGTACTCTACCTAGGTAATGATTCTTGAATCTGGCGAACATGTGAAGATGAAAGATTTAATTCTCATAGTCTTACTGCCACGGGCGTTAAAATGTTGAAAATAATAAAGATAGCTTACAAGCAATTTTATGGAGCCAACAGGAAAATGACGTGATGCGCAGCTTCTAGGAGTGGCTAGTTCGGACCCTTTTCTTTCGTAATTCAACTACTTCGGTTTTGAGTGATTCATCCTTCAAGGGTATTGAACCTTGTACTACGGCATGCTCCATGGATAGAAGTATTCATCAAGTGGGGTATTGAGGCACTATATGGCCGATTCTGAAGATTCAAGTCCTCACAGGTGAGTAAAAGGAATTATCATTTTGAGAGTATAGGTTGTTACAGAACATGACTTTATGCGTCTGTTCACCTAGTGTCTTCAGGACTCCTTCTCCCACATGCCTACCTGACCCATTGGCTATGGCCAGTAGCTCAAGAATGCTGATATAATACCAGAATATCTGCCTCCACCAACTAGGCATCTCGACGCCAACGAAGGCATCCATTCTCAGCTTGACAAGTGATACAGACAACTTCAGGTCTCAAAAGGACGATGATACACTATGGAGGAGCAGCAAACTAAACAGTCCTCTGGACTAGGGGCAAGCAAAACAAAGGAGACTTGATCCCTGACGCAACACATTACCTGCCAGGAGCCCAGCAATATCTTGATAAGGATCTTACAAGCGATTCCAAAAATCTAAGCATAGTTAGTCGCACAACGGCGGATTTGACAAAGCTGAGGCTCTATCGAAAAGGTTCGCCAAGGCGTCAGGAGGATCCACTTCGGGTGGCGCGTGCCACTGTTAGCCTCCCACCTAATTATTGACATCAAGTCCAAGCTCCGGAGCCCAAGGCAGGCCTAGGGTATCTCTGCCAGCAGGTTGGCGCAACGGTAGAGCGTCATCTGGCCTTCACTGGTAAAGACAGAGGATAGTGGCGGCTATGTTTTTAAGATCCTAGGACGCAGGTTCGGATCCTGCTGTCGGCTCGAAATATATACCAATTGGAGTCACACTCTGCGAAACGGAGTCAATATTCATGTGCTCCCTTCGGGGCCTTAGCTCCTATATGGCCTTGTGGCCAGGCAGCAAACAAGGGTACTGACCAATCGGGCTGCCCAGGGCGACTTTCGACCACGTCGCCTGTTCGCCGGACGCCGGCGGTCTTAGCTGTATAAAGAAGCAGGCTCCCCACCAGGCTAAGCGCTGAGATCCAGCACCGAACCTCACCACGCCCCTTCTCAGCACGAGAGTCTTATATCCTTGCCCGCTAGTAGCAGCCAGGATCAAGCCCGCTGCTTCCCAACATATTGATATATTCATTTCCCAGAGGATTAGCGCCTGCCACCTTCCCCTTTACACTCACCAAATACCCTTCCTGTATTCCTGCGTAAGTTTCAAAGGTACGAAATCCCCTTCCTATCTTTCTTTCTTGATCAGCCCTCTTTTGCTCTTCGTCTTTCCCCCCTCCCCCTCTCTCTCTCTTAGGCTAACTACACCACTCTATAAGGTCATCGCCTAATCCAACTCTAATATGAAACCCCTTACCTACCTCTCCCTCCTCCTTGGTATCTCTGCAACCACTGCCCTCGCCGCTCTCCGCCCAGACGCAACCCCCGACGAGGTCGCCGCGGCGGAAGCTGAGTGCGGGTCCCTAGGCGTGATGAGGATCGACCCAGCAGAGCTGCCCGAGGGCGCTACGATGGCCGACGTCCGTATGTGCGCCGACCATCCGCTCGGCCCCGGGGCGTACCTAGGTCCGGGTCCTGGTGCTTTCGCCAGGTTCCGTCGGTTCTTGCCGAGTTGGGTATTTTGAGAGGACAGCCCAGGAGCTGGGTCGCCTAAAATATAAAAGCCGTAGGCTCTCTAGATAACGATAAATAATTCATTCGAGGTTACCTTGATTGCCATCGTTCTGCAAGGTCATTCCTCGAGCGTAATTCGGCGGATAATTAGGTGAATCGAATTTAGAATCTTCACTCTAAGCAGAGCGCTCAAAGCCTTGCTGAGTTATACTCATCATAAAAAGACAACACTAGAATAGGTGAGTCCTAGAACGGCAAGGAGAGGCTGGTAGGTATTCCGCTATATGTAACTGGTTATAGGAGTATACTCAAAGTAAAAAAAAAAAAAGACCATTTTGCATGAGGCAAGAACTGCAGTAACTACAATATTACACCAAGATCCACCCCCAGGCATTCATCTAGACCACATCACATCACATCATATCATATCATATCATATCACATTCCCCACCAGCATCCCTAAATTCTGTTTGTCGATCCAACAAAATAAGAAAAAGACACCCAAACTCATCCCTTCTCACCATCCTAATCGGGATGAATTCCTCGAGTTAGATCACCCAATCACATCAACTCTCACACGAGGATATCCAGGGGTGTACATTTCCAGCAGCCTCGGCGGGCCTTCCGATCGATTCATGAGGAGTGGGGCGTGGCTTGCGAGAACCGGATTCTCCGGAGGCGAGGT